TTACTAGCGGTATACCGTATGCGTTATCTACAGGATAATCGCTCGTGTCGAATCGTATATGTATATCGCGTTTCATCGTCTCATATACATCCTCGCACTTGATGTGGTATATGAGACTGTCCGTATCGGTGTACATAATTTTACACTTGTCTCTGTACAGGGGTAACATATATTCATGGTGAAATTCATACAAGCAGATCTTGGATATGTCGAGGATGCACATACCCACGTAGATCGGCTTGTTGAATTTTACCTCGAGTTTTCGCAACTCCACGGCAATTAAGTTTTCGGAAAAAATGCTGCGACTATGAAAATTCGGTTTGGAGATCATCGTCTCGGCACCGTAGCGACCATCCCATTTAGTTATAAGTTTAACGTCGACGTGATTCCGCACGTTTTCCATTGTTTTACCGAATACCGCGTTGTTCATTAATTTATACAAATTTTTTTCGAAATCGTTTGTTGCACATGTTCTAAACTGAGTATTAAGCTCGATATATTTGCGAAGCCATGGAGATTGCAAAAACTCCAATATACGATGTATCTTTGTGACACGCAGACCGTGACGCGTGCACTGCTGCAGGTTACGGTAGTGTATGATATAACGCTTCTTATCATACACTGTCGCGAGAAGTTTGTTCTGCCGCTTGCCTGGTGGCTTATCACGCGTCGGACAAAACGGTAGATCGGCGTGCGCGTCGCGGTCGTGAAGATGCTGTGGATACTCAAGATCGACCTCGAGAATGTACCCCGTGAGTGCATCCGGAGCGATCGCATTTGCATTAAAATCAGCAACGTTAGTGACCCATTGAAAATTCGCGTAAGGCAGCGGCTGACACATTGCCCACCCGTACAGATTATTTACGTCAAAGTACATCAGGTACGAGGAAGGTTTCGCGGGATCGTAAGACTGCATGTACTTGTTATTGGCTCGAGCATATCTACCGGAACATTAGCTGAGACCGCCGCGTATGCCGCGTTCCACAAACATAACCATGTCAATATCGGTGAGCAGTTCGAAATTTATACGCGTATGTTTCATCATGGCATCCCACGTGAAACCGGGTAAAGTATAATAATGCGCAGGATCTAACCCATAACTTTTAATGCTACTATTGCGAAAATTTTCAAAAATGTCAGCCAATAACAAGACATCGGTTTTCAAATATAAATCACTGTAATCTCCCAGAGTTTCGATGGAGAATCGTTGCCATACATTCAAAGCATGTGCGTAATCGCTCTCGGATACGGTGTCACCGGTCAAAGAACTAAAAAATGATTCGCGCGGTGGTATGCATAGGTCCTGCAACTTGTCTGCACAATCTATATACTCATATGGAAATACACCTTTGCGCGTTAATAAATTGAAATCGTCACTGGATAATGTTGAAAATTCGGATCGTGTAATTTTTAATTTATCTGTATTGAGAAACGATGCCAATCTATTGAGACTGGTACTCAGAAATTTATACGAGTCAATAAATCGCAGCTGTATACAATTTTGCCGCTTGGAGTTTATCGCAGCATTTTTAACATTTTTTGTAAAGGAAATGTACGTTTCCTTCGTTATCGGCAATACATTAACCGTGCCCTCGAACGCGGTTGCGATTTCTTTAATTATGAAATGTGCATCATAGCCGGATAAATTATGGAAAACTATAGGAATAAAATGTGAGTCTTTATAATTTAGGTTACAATTAGAATGTGCAGGACCTCTATACCGCCCGGTTAGATGACAATGATCGCGTACTCGAATGTCGCCTGGTGCTAATGGTTTCTCACAAATATGACAGTGCGTGCCGCTATTAAATTGTTCACACTGTTCTTTCGAAAGCGTTTCCATGGGGACATTAATTGATAAAATATTTTGCACGCGATGCGCTAAGTTATTAAGTTCGCCCGCGAACCATGTGATACAATCCTTATCGCGACGGAACCGATACATTGACAGCGAGTTGTCATACGAGCAGTGAACGTAGTACGCGATGCTAAATACCTGGTGGTGCTGGTATGCTTTGGTATCGGTATCAGTCTTTTTTAAGATGCACTCAAGGTCCGCGTACACTACAAACGGCACGCGTTCCTTCCTGCTGTGGTTGTTGAAACTGAGCCACTTGTCCTTCTCGCTGGGTAATACGATCGCGCAGTTATTTATCTTTTGGCAGTCCACGCTGTGGGCTTCCAACTTTCCATTTGAATGGAAATAATGCAAACATCTGGAAAGAAAAAACATTTTTATATTTTTCAAATAAAACAATTTTTCATAAATTTTATTGATACTCACCGATCGCAAATGTATTTCTTCTCCTTGTGTTTACTGAGTTGAGAACTGACGAGGCGGGGTAAGTTTTTTATCCAGACGAAGTGGCCCACTTCAGCATCTTCCTGATCTTGTAGGTATAAAAGTTCACGTGCTTCTCCTTCTTCTCATCGGTAACTCGTAGCGGTACGACTGTGCATTCCTTCTTCTTCTCGACGCTGTATACGTTGATGGAAATACTGTTCAGTTGTTCAAACTTTTTAATACCGTTTAATGTCATTGGAAAGCTAATGTCTCGCAGGTTTAGCACGTCGCTGTAATGCGGATACGACGATTTACGATCAGCGTTTCTTTCAGCCGGATAGAGAGCAGCGACCACCGACCACGCGAAACACGCATTGTCCTTTGATCGTACATTGATCACTGCTTTCTTCCGTTTCACCACTTCTGGCATGTCTATATGGCATCCCGCGCGCATAGGATTGCACTTGTTCACATTAATAGTTATGTTGTGTATACGCGACAACGCCCATCCGCTATCACGCTCCTGGAATTCTTCGAGTTCGGTTAGAATCAGATCGATTACGCGCGACTTGTACCACAGTTGTAGGTCCGTTGTAATAAGCAGTTCATAGTTTTTTGTATTTATGCTTTTATTCGCATGTTTATTACCCGCCACAAACTCTCCGTTGAACACGGTATTCACCTTTACATAATTATAGCGCTCGATAGCGTCTCGCACGTGCTCGACCACTACATCGCGAGCGTCCTCGAGAAATTTCCGCGGCTCGATGTACTCCACGTTAATCACCACACTGGTAAGCACGCGACTGTCAAATGCGGTGTCGATCTCGCGCCACGACAGTTGCGCTCTCGAAGAAGGTCCAACACTCGCGTAATCATCGCTGCCGCCACCACGGCCGAAATGTACGAATCGTTGTTCCAGTTGTTTTTTTACTCCCTCGAGTCGCGCGATTTGCGCCACCAGAGATTGTCTATTGCCGATGGACAGCCTTGGACGCTTGGTACGGCTACGTTCTTCGAGTTTCGCGATGCACTCGTCGCATTGCAGAATCCACGCGAAATAGTCGCCCATGGTAGCAACCTCGTCGACTCGCGCCACCAGATCTTGATCCATGTTGTCGCACATATTTCCCAAGTCACTCTTTTCACATTCGTTGAACTTTCGTGAAACCGATTCGCTCGACTGATGGACTTTGAAATGTGGAACTATAAGCTAACCTATGATATATATACTTTTTACCCCCTCTTCGTCTTTTCGACCCAGACCCTTGACCATGTTTTCTCTTTTGAAATGTGGGATTATATTTTTACCCCCTCTTTGCCATTTTTGACCCAGACCCTTTCCCCAAGAAATGAAAACCAAAAGAATTCCAATCTGTTTTTCTAACTTAGAACTTGGTTTTGCTGAATTATTAGAGAAATATAAGAATTTCCGGTCAGTTCCCCGTTAGGAAATCAGGTATTTGCACATGTCAGGATTGTCAGATTATATCGATGCTGAAAGATTGTATTTCAACAAGGAATCCGGCTAGTAAATCCGACCGAATTCCTATTTAAGTTTTACTGACCGGAAATCCTTTTTAAAAGTGAGACGTTTTCCCAATCGGATTCTAATAATAACTGAGGAAAACCTACCGGATCCCTGCTTAAATTTCCACACGGGATGTTTTCTCTTTTGAAATGTGGGATTATATTTTTACCCCCCTCTTTGCCTTTTTTTCGACCCATTGGTAAATTTTACCTCCATCCTTTTCACATAGATGTCATTTTAAAATGTATTGTTCATCTACAGCATATTGAACGTTCTTTTGAAATGTGGGATTATAAGCTTAGCTAAAAGGATTTAAAATCTATTCATGCATCAAGACGAACCGTAATATTTCTCCTTCTCTCGACGTGTTCAAACGAGTCTCGACGTGTTCAAACAAGTCTCGACATGTCCATACCAACGTGTACATCTTCGCCTCGATCTTATATGTATGGGTAGGAAGCAGAAGAAAAAAATGTTAGTGGATGAAAATTTTATTTATTATACAATTATTAATTTTTTTCGTTCATCACCGCGTTTTAAGGTTTCAGCAATAAGTTCATCTACAGCATAAACTATTAATTCACAATCTATGACAGAAGTTTTATCATATACCTCATACAGTATACCAATTGCATCATCTCTCTCCTCTCTCCCTCGCATATAGCCCTACGTTGTCGCTCTTCTTCTTATTAACTACTTGGGAAGGGAAGATAGAATGGATTGGAAGAAAATGTATGTCATTAAAAAAATTTTAATCTCATTTTATTATCTTAATTTATCAAAATACATCACCCCGACTTTTGGCTTCGGCAAGAATTTCTTTTAACTTACCCCCACCCTTAATTCTACATCTTCCCCCGCTCACTCAATTTTAATCCTCCCATTATTCTGTTTACTCCAGGAAAGAATTTTAATCCTCCCATTATTCAGTTTACTCTAGGAAAGAATTTTAATCCTCCCATTATTCAGTTTACTCCAGGAAAGAATTTTAATCCTCCACTAATCTGTTTTACTCTATAGAAAATCCCCCATCCCCCGCACCGTCGGGCCCAGTCCCAATCCTCCCATTATTCTGTTTAAGAATTTTAATCCTCCCATTATTCTGTTTACTTCAGTAAAGAATTTTAATCCTCCACTAATCTGTTTACTCCATAGAAAATCCCCCATCCCCCGCACCGTCGGGCCCAGTCCCAATCCTCCCATTATTCTGTTTAAGAATTTTAATCCTCCCATTATTCTGTTTACTTCAGTAAAGAATTTTAATCCTCCAAAGAATTTTAATCCTCCACTAATCTGTTTGTTCTATAGAAAATCCCCCCCACCCCCCGCGGTTAGGGTCGCCGCGTAGGGCTCCATAGGGTAAGGTTCGCCCGGTTCCCCCTCCCCCAGCGGTTAGGCCCGCCCGGTTTCCCCCTCCAAAAGTGAGTTAGAAACCCCATAGCTCCTCTACTCAACCGCCTCTTTTTCGGCTCTCAAAGCTGATTCATAAGTTTCTTAAATAAACAAAATAATACAATAGTTGTAATATAAAACAATATTTATATAAAACATAATAAACATGCAAAATCTTTTTTTAAAACTCTTTCTTTAATATTTTAATACTTATTACTTACCATGTTTACTAAAAATATAACATTTATATTTAGTCCAATGTTCTTTGACCGTTATTTCTTTAACGATAGCAGTTCTGATATTTTTCATGCCTTCAGGCCAATAACAATAATTTGGTTCTTCTAACCAGATTATTGGAACTACTGAAAAATCCAAATTGTCAAATCGCACTACTGCATACTGAAAATAAAATGTTATAACATTTATAATTTATAAACCTAATATGTTGAAACAAATCAAATTTATACTTACCATATGAATTAATCCATATCATGCAACATTGATAAAAAGCAATTCTCTAATTTGAAACCTTTTCTTAATATATTATCAATAGAAGTAATATGTTCTTGATCAATTTCGTTTACAAATCCACACCAAAAAATAGTACTCTCCATTGGATTATCAAAATATGATCTTATTTCTAAGTATTTGTATTTAATATAAAATTCACCATCCATTCGAAAAATATCAATTATTTTTATAGGTTTATTATTTTTTAAGAGGAAATTACAATCTGGTTCCTTAGTTTTCACTCTGAAACCTTTATAATGAATTGATAAAAAATGTTCTGTCAACTTATTATTTATCGTACGAAATCCATCGTGTTTCAGATAAGTTGTTTGTTTTATCGTATGACAAGCATAGGTATCAAATTCATTAACTCTTTTTATAAATTGTGATAACGGTTTCTTTGATGGTTTCAACATCAGTTTTATGTTATGCATATAATTTTCAAACGGGAAGCAGCTAAATTTATCCAACGAACCAAATTTCTTCACATCCGTTGTTAAATGAATGAGATTATGGACATTATGATTGATAAATTCATGCCCATACAAATTACCAAACTCTTTTGCAAAATATGTTAATAATTCATTTGCATAATCAATATATTTTTTAATCAAGTCATCACATACCAATATCCGAATTGCACAATGTAAAGAGAGAAAATGTAAAAAATATTGCTTTCTTAGAAATGGTTTCATCAGCCATGGTCCATAATATAATAGAAATGTTCTAAATTCAACGGCTTTCCACCTTTCATACTCTTTATTGGTCTAGGCTTTCTCGCAAACTCATGTGGAGTCGACTTATATATTAATTTTAGTTTTTCATTTATAGTATCAATATCTTCTTTCATTAACCGAGTTTCTTGGTTTCCTTTAATCCAGAAACCTATTAAGCGTTTCATAATTCCTAATAATACCAAATGCATATAATCTAAAGGGATATTTGTGACAAGACCAATTTTTAAATCACATAATATAGATTTCACTTTGTGATAATCTTCATCAATTTGAGAATGGAATTCTTCATCTGTTGTTAGTTTCGAATTGAGTTCTGGAAAAGTCATTCTATTGTTGACAAATGATCCTTCGGCCCAACATTTCGTGCAGCTTTGATAAGAATTGAAATATTTTACACATAATATAAAAGCTTTGGCAGGAGCATCGCACAGAATTTTACTAATGTGTACCTTTAGAATTCGATTATTGAAATGCAAACCTTCTTCTTGCAATATTTTCATTTCTTCAGTAAATCTTTGTAAAAACATATTACTGTTATTAGGTTTATTTTCTCCATGATAAACGGCAATTGGAAATGGCCTAAGTTGTTTTAATTCATCAATTTTTATCAAGATTGGCCAAAATTGGCTACCACTACTTTTCGTTAGAGGAAGTCCATCAACATTCATTGATATGTTTATTTCATCTCCTTCAAAATTAATCTGATTTAATTTTAATAATAATTTTGATTTCAAACCAAAGTGATAGTATTTTCCAGGAGCTAGATTACTTATTTT